TAATTCATCGTGTTCTTTCACTCATTTACATTTGTAAAATATGTGTATTCGTTTGTGTCAGCTTGTCTATATCGACCTTGTCTGCCTGAACTATGTAAGCTGTGATACAAAATTCGATAAGCAATACGGTACAAACCATTTTCATACGCCTGCATGGTTATCTTCCGTTACATGAATGCATGAAATAGAATCTTCTAGATAAATTTCATAATCGACTTTTACATACCACCGTTGTACAATTGGGGTTAGCCAAAGTGTTTCGTAGGAAACGGAATTTATTTCATTTTCGTCAATTATAGTTTGCATAGTGCCTACAATTGAACTTCTGTGTTCGGAACAAATCATTCGCAACATTTGTCCATTGTTTGATTAGTTGTGTTGTACTACTTGTTGAACTACTTCGTTTCTAGAAAAATTGTTTTCCTCTCATTTGTTTTAGTCGTCAACAAAGAAGTACACAACTAAAATCAGCCGAAAATTCATTATCATCCTACACTGATAATCAACGGGTACTTGGAAATGATGTACAGGTGATCGTTGATCAGATGCCAATGGATATGAAATTAAAAATTACAAATGAATTTAGAAAAATAATCACAGATAATGTTGATTTCAATGGACTAAAATTAACAGAATATATGAAACAGTTTATGGATAAAAATTTCTCCTCATCTTGGGTTGTGCTAATTGTCAAAGGTTCATATTCAACTACATTTTTGCATCTTGAGGATTGTGCATTTCAATTTCGTTTGAATAATTACAGTTTTGTTGTTTGGAGAACATTTTTTGGATTTAATTAGGTTTTAATTTTATTTCCCACAGTTATAACATTAGTAAGTAATGAGACACTGTTGTCATAATTCCTGAAAGTAAAGTGTATATTCAGTTTGCTTACTATTAACAATAAATTATCTTTGGTTCTGGTATAATCTCAGTTCGTCAGATTCTGCTACTCATATATGCTGTTTTTGTATGCGCGCTCAAACTAGCTAACATGGGTGAGAAAAACAGAAGTGAGTAGGAAGCTTCCATTGTGTAACCGGGTGGAAAACATATTCACAGCTCATTTATAGATGCAGATATCTGTTTCGCTAAATGGGATCGTGACACAAATCTTATCTCTGTCATTACCTCTCACTTATGTTTGGACCGATTAGCCAACCGTATGGAGTTCACTGGACTAAATTTCCACTTGAACTTGAATACTTTATCTAGTGATAGAATTTCTATACGTTCGTCTACATTGATAATTCATATTTTGCGATTTACAAAAACATTTCCCAATGAAGTGCTTATAAATGTGAATTCGCAATGAACGAACTCAGAGATATTCAAATAAATAGTGAAAAATTAGCCTTCCCGATGTGGATTTTACCATATTACTGATTTCCTTTGGAGTGATAGTGAAAGATTCGCACTATAAAAACAAATCATTGGTTTCTAATGAATTGGTAACAGTGAGCATCATCAGTCCAGGATCATGCTAATGTCCATCAACACAAAAATATTACTAAATACAACTAGTCCCCGTTTGCATCCACTTCTTCAAGAGCAACATAAGAAATGGAATCAGATCAGTTGTATTCTGCATCAGTGGATCTTGACAGATCGTCCACCAGTCGCTTTCAAATAAAGCATTCAAATACAAATAGGGAATAATGAGAACTGTGCTCTTAGAAATAATACTGAACATTTAACCTTGACCAAGTAGAAATTCGAGTCAATTCTCATCGACTATCACTTATAAAACACTGTTTAAGAAAAATCTTCAGATCCGTTAGGGGAATGTTTACATCGGAAACCGTATCAAAACCTTTCCCATTAGAACATGTGTTATTTGAGCATATATGCACTGATTCACATGAATATCACGAGGTATTCGTGATCACTCTTAATTAGGAAAGTGATTCTCAGAGAATTTCAGTTGTTCACTAGTTTGACCTAAATCAAAACACCTGTATATGTCATTGTAAGCTGAAAAAGTAGGTTTTTTGAGTGCATGTTGAAAACAGTAATTTAAGCTACAATTCACATATTTGTGATCATTTATCATGATCAAATGACGTTATAATTTAGAAGAGGGTAACTACTCGTGATTCTTTGAAGTCTGTGTGTTGATCGGTACCGAACCATTGAGAAGATAACATGTGGATATTGATCAACATATATCTGAGTGTAGTGATGTTTACACACATGATATAGATTCCAGATGTTGCTGATTTCAGTTTATTTAGCCAATATTGAAACTTCGGTTTCTTTGTTCCAATGAAACTGAAGTGTTGATAAAAATATCAGGTGAGTTTTGGTAGCTTTTATGTTTAGTTAATCACTCTATATAATTAGGGATTGTAAATTATTCTGGTTTTTTTAAAGATTTATGATCCATCGATTGAATGCAGTAATTACTGAGTTTGTTCAATCTCAATTAATTCACTGTCGATCACTAGCACACATGACATAGACATCACTCACACCACTAAATTGGAGTTCTATGAAAACTTGGAAGTGACCGGATGTGTATCTTCTCGACTCTACACTTCACCATAAATCCATAACACACTGAATACTATTTAGTTATCTTTTGGATAATACGGGTTCTCTTTATCAGTAGGAGTTGAGTTTCTCGTGATTAGAGTCAATTCGATGAACGAGCACTACACACTATTGTTTATGAGGAGAAAAATGAAACTATTCACGGATTGTTCAAAATTTACGAATAAACAAACTAGGACATTACATTGGGTGATGTAGTGAACGGTGTTTTGGAGCATTGTTGTGCATCATCGAAATACCACAGAATCCACTTCGACCTATCAGTTTGAGACGCACATATCGGCTCATCTGCTATTGTGAAGCAGGATGGATAAGCTGGTTATTGAGGACATTTCCTGACTCACCAATAATTGAATAACAAGGCACAGTTGGCAAATCTATCTATTCCGTAATATGTAGTTGACCATTACGACGTACTATAAAACATATAACTTTAAATGTATGTATATATATATCAGTATCAAAGAGATGTGTTTTACTCATGTCCTCTCTTCTCATCTTCACTTTACATGCAATCTCACTCATCTCTGCTCATTACGTCGGAATATATTCTATTGAAATTCATTGGTCTCATCAAATTTACCACTTCTAATGCGGTTAAATGATCAAAGTCAATGGATTCCCATTGTTATTGTCAATCGCCTTCATTCAACTAATTAAATATACCATGATGGAGGGTTGGGCATGGGGTTAGCGTCCCCATCCCCACTCCCTAAAAAAACGCTAACCAGAAAAAATTATTCAAACCTTTTAAACTCTGCCCTGAAAGTCAGAAGATCTTCATTTAGAAGAACTATGACGCCTCATGATGAAAGCCGAATTCCTTCGGAAGTTACGAGGCTAATGCCCCTTCTGACAACCAGAGCGACCGTTTATTTAGGTACATGGAATGTTCGTACACTGCAAAATCGTGCATGGAGGACAGTTGACAGACTCGTTCGAGGTAAAGACCTGTGTCAGGCAAGGTTGCTTACTCTCACCCTTTCTCTTTCTCCTGGTGATCGACTGGATCACGAACACGTCAATAATTTACAATCCCTAATTATATAGAGTGATTAACTAAACATAAAAGCTACCAAAACTCACCTGATATTTTTATCAACACTTCAGTTTCATTGGAACAAAGAAACCGAAGTTTCAATATTGGCTAAATAAACTGAAATCAGCAACATCTGGAATCTATATCATGTGTGTAAACATCACTACACTCAGATATATGTTGATCAATATCCACATGTTATCTTCTCAATGGTTCGGTACCGATCAACACACAGACTTCAAAGAATCACGAGTAGTTACCCTCTTCTAAATTATAACGTCATTTGATCATGATAAATGATCACAAATATGTGAATTGTAGCTTAAATTACTGTTTTCAACATGCACTCAAAAAACCTACTTTTTCAGCTTACAATGACATATACAGGTGTTTTGATTTAGGTCAAACTAGTGAACAACTGAAATTCTCTGAGAATCACTTTCCTAATTAAGAGTGATCACGAATACCTCGTGATATTCATGTGAATCAGTGCATATATGCTCAAATAACACATGTTCTAATGGGAAAGGTTTTGATACGGTTTCCGATGTAAACATTCCCCTAACGGATCTGAAGATTTTTCTTAAACAGTGTTTTATAAGTGATAGTCGATGAGAATTGACTCGAATTTCTACTTGGTCAAGGTTAAATGTTCAGTATTATTTCTAAGAGCACAGTTCTCATTATTCCCTATTTGTATTTGAATGCTTTATTTGAAAGCGACTGGTGGACGATCTGTCAAGATCCACTGATGCAGAATACAACTGATCTGATTCCATTTCTTATGTTGCTCTTGAAGAAGTGGATGCAAACGGGGACTAGTTGTATTTAGTAATATTTTTGTGTTGATGGACATTAGCATGATCCTGGACTGATGATGCTCACTGTTACCAATTCATTAGAAACCAATGATTTGTTTTTATAGTGCGAATCTTTCACTATCACTCCAAAGGAAATCAGTAATATGGTAAAATCCACATCGGGAAGGCTAATTTTTCACTATTTATTTGAATATCTCTGAGTTCGTTCATTGCGAATTCACATTTATAAGCACTTCATTGGGAAATGTTTTTGTAAATCGCAAAATATGAATTATCAATGTAGACGAACGTATAGAAATTCTATCACTAGATAAAGTATTCAAGTTCAAGTGGAAATTTAGTCCAGTGAACTCCATACGGTTGGCTAATCGGTCCAAACATAAGTGAGAGGTAATGACAGAGATAAGATTTGTGTCACGATCCCATTTAGCGAAACAGATATCTGCATCTATAAATGAGCTGTGAATATGTTTTCCACCCGGTTACACAATGGAAGCTTCCTACTCACTTCTGTTTTTCTCACCCATGTTAGCTAGTTTGAGCGCGCATACAAAAACAGCATATATGAGTAGCAGAATCTGACGAACTGAGATTATACCAGAACCAAAGATAATTTATTGTTAATAGTAAGCAAACTGAATATACACTTTACTTTCAGGAATTATGACAACAGTGTCTCATTACTTACTAATGTTATAACTGTGGGAAATAAAATTAAAACCTAATTAAATCCAAAAAATGTTCTCCAAACAACAAAACTGTAATTATTCAAACGAAATTGAAATGCACAATCCTCAAGATGCAAAAATGTAGTTGAATATGAACCTTTGACAATTAGCACAACCCAAGATGAGGAGAAATTTTTATCCATAAACTGTTTCATATATTCTGTTAATTTTAGTCCATTGAAATCAACATTATCTGTGATTATTTTTCTAAATTCATTTGTAATTTTTAATTTCATATCCATTGGCATCTGATCAACGATCACCTGTACATCATTTCCAAGTACCCGTTGATTATCAGTGTAGGATGATAATGAATTTTCGGCTGATTTTAGTTGTGTACTTCTTTGTTGACGACTAAAACAAATGAGAGGAAAACAATTTTTCTAGAAACGAAGTAGTTCAACAAGTAGTACAACACAACTAATCAAACAATGGACAAATGTTGCGAATGATTTGTTCCGAACACAGAAGTTCAATTGTAGGCACTATGCAAACTATAATTGACGAAAATGAAATAAATTCCGTTTCCTACGAAACACTTTGGCTAACCCCAATTGTACAACGGTGGTATGTAAAAGTCGATTATGAAATTTATCTAGAAGATTCTATTTCATGCATTCATGTAACGGAAGATAACCATGCAGGCGTATGAAAATGGTTTGTACCGTATTGCTTATCGAATTTTGTATCACAGCTTACATAGTTCAGGCAGACAAGGTCGATATAGACAAGCTGACACAAACGAATACACATATTTTACAAATGTAAATGAGTGAAAGAACACGATGAATTATTTATGAATACAAGCAATACAACAAGTGATATTACAACGACCTATGCTTAAGTTGCGTACGTATTCAACTCAGTGTTAGTCAACACAAGGTCTTGAATCTATATATCATTGTCAGTCGGTAACATGATTGTGAATCTGAATAGATGTTCGTTATGATCCAACAACATATGGGTTTGTTGCACTTCTAATTTGTTTATTAACCCAATTCATATTTGAAACTATCTTATTCTGAGTGAACGACGTAGGTGAATAATTTGTCGAGGTAAATGTTGAATGGTCGGTTTGAGATTCGTGAAACTGTGAAAACACCTAAATCCTAACTGAAGAATGATAAATGTATTATACACATAATTGACTTGTTCACTCCCTTGCTCAGATGACTGAATTTGGAAAGAGATTATTACATGTACACAATATTAGGCATAGATTTAACTTAGTCAGAAGAATAGACAGCATTGATCTGAGCACAAAGCAAATAATCTATTTCCACCATCTCATTATGATCTTCTAAATATTAAATTGAAGAAATTATTAATTTGAGATGTGTTCTATCTAGTGAGCTAGATATTTTGAGATTATGAAGCTATGATTATCGTCGTAGAGAACATCATTGTCATTTCCCGATAGAAGTAATATCTTGACTAATGCAACATTAACTGAAAATATTCACGTGAATTTCGCATATTCACCATAATCCTTCCAACACGATTTGTGTAAATAGATAATATGTGAATATTTTTCAATGTGAGATACAGAAATAATAAAAAACTGGTTAATGACTTACACATCTCCAATATTTAATTGTAGATGTTCACAAATATCTTCTAGACTGAGACGATCAGTCTTTCTTAACTGAAATAACTTCATCCAATTCTATTGGTAAATAATAGAATTTATTAAAGATTAGTAGTCTATGAAAACATTCAATGTTTGTTCACTTTCACAATCATAATTATCAACTAAAAGTCAATAGGACCGTAGTGATTATAAATTGCTTTGACTTTGAGATGTACTCAAACTGCATAATGCACAATAATTTCAATGAACAAGTGAAATAATTGATATAACTGGATAGTCTAGATCTCAGTTTACGTTATGAAGTGTTTTTTTATTCAATAACTCGATAATAGTGTATTCGCTGAGTGATCTACATGTGATGAGTGTTTCTCTCGCATTAGGTTGTCGACTCATAACTCAGACACATTTGTTCTCTCCAACATCCTTTCAAATCACAATTTCTCAATAACATTTCCTCAATGATTTTCTGTATTCTACAAACCAAGATTCGTGCTTATTGATACCTTTCTTCAAAAATCATTGAACAAAGTTCAGTTTACTAGAAGCCAGTTCTAGGCATAGACCTATGTGAATTAACTTAGTGGTGATCACTCTCTTCAATATCATAGTTAACTTTATTCGAAGGATTAATTCCTGTATTATTCAACTAGCTGTTCAAGCATTCAACACTTTTTAAAACAATACATGATTTATGAGTAGTTGCAAACATTCATACATTATTATTGATTTATTTCAACCAACCTCAATTAGATCATCATCTCGACGATTAGTTTCAAAATGTCTCTTTAGTTGACTCTTTGTAATTTCTTCATCACGGTCTTTGTCGATTGCGAAGAATATTTCTAGAAATGCTTTCAATGTCGGTTTTGTGCTCTCTTGATCATCAAATTTTACAACCATGTTGAAGAATAATGACTGTGATAGTGTGGATTATACACACAGATTATATTTGATAGTTACCTACTTGATTTAATGTATATATACATAAACAGACATATACACGAAATTATCAATAGTTTAATCTCTAAACACATCATGACTAGAATTGTAGAATGTAATTTAACATTAAACAATAATTGTCACACTAGAATTAATCAGTTAATTTTGACAGCTTGGTATTTGAAAATATATCATTCAAATTGATTAAATACCTTTCACTACATTCTTGTGAATGACCTATTTAACATCAAAGTAATAAACAATTAGTTTAGTAGTCGTTCCAATTATATTCGGGTGTAACCATTCAATAATCCATGCAGACAATACAATTATTCCATCGAAAATATTGTATATCATGTATTTAATTTTCCTGAACGCCTTCTCACCTATCCATATTAATGCACATTCACTGCACTCATTGTTCATTGAGTGATTATCCAAATAATCCCTTTTTATACGAAGTGCTTTTTCTACCATTTAACATGGTTGTGTTCTTAGTTTAATCACCGTAATCCAACCATCAATATATCTTTTAGAAAGTGTTTGTCGTTATGGTAGAAATGTATCTAGAATGATAAACGAGATACGTTGTAAGAGTCATCAAAGTCCTACGGTGTTTCGACTTGTACAAATGATTGGTCACAGATTAGTGAACAATGTGATATTCGTCTCACCATTCAGTACAGGTACAGTTCCGTCACTCAAGTTACTGGTTTAATTGACTGAAGATCACGTTTACCATGTTGAGTTGTCAGGTGGTTTAAGTTAGTCGGCAGGAAACGATTGATCTAGTTCCGATATCAGTTTACACTTATCGACAAATCACACGTGAACTCTTGAGTGGATGGGTTCTTCATATGATATTCGAATGCGCATCACTACATTATTCTTGTTGTATAGAAAATTTTACACTGGTATCAAAACCATGGATGTTAACACACTCAATACATCAATTCACCGTCTACATATAAACTACTCACTGACCAATCCATTGATTATTGTTCACATTATCGTCTTGAAATCCCATTCTTCATGGATAACGATAGTATAACTCAGCAATGGTTATCTAACTCATGTCGACTTGCTGTCTTAAAAACACTCAGTTATCTCCACAAGCCGTTTGTACAGATAAATGTTATAACTACGAACTGATTTGCTCATACGTTTACGAAGATCTCGTGTAGTGGTGAGATGTTCACACCGATTCATCATATCATATCATATCATATCATGTCAAAAATGTGAACACGATTCATTTTAATGCAGTCTACTTCCTGCTTGTAACTGTCAAATTCAAATATTTATAGTAACCAGTGCTCGTTAAAGCAGTGATGTCTGTCGAATTTGGAAATTTCATTGCATAACATTCTGACATTCTGAGTGATATGTGCTGAAATCGTGTTTCGGATTTCACAGATTGACATATTAATATTGAAGCATTTGATGAGTTTCACTCAGAATAGAACGCTCAATCTAGACTGAACCGTTGTTCACTGTCAAGATTACGACCATTAAAACTGTAACTAGATTAAAAATGGTGGAGGCGATTTCAACAATCATTCGGTTGTGTTGGTAACGTCAACAATAGTTCAAAGAAGAGACAACGAATGAACTAGCCAGTAACATATCATTCTCAAAACACCAAATAATTCAAACGAAATTTGGCAACTCAAAGGTTTATAGTAGGTAAAGATGCAAGAATGTTTAAAGTATAATCAATGAGTGAATAGCTCACAGGAATAACGTATGCACCAATATCTATTAAGTTTGGGTCATTGTGATTAGCCATAATTACACAATTTCGATAGGTTATATTCTCTTGACAAATACGCTTTCTCAACTAGTCCGTATTGTTCTTGTAATCAGTGAAGATGACTGACTGAATCCTATATGAATACTTTCAATCAGTGATCAAAGACTATTATTTTAGCATGGAATCGAAGTATACCTGTGTAAAATAATGCAATGTGTTTGCGTTTCCTCCAATACATAATTTTCTCACTCATTGTTGTTGGTTGATTTTACTTTAAACATTACAAAACTGTTAAAACTCACGTTTTAACGTGAGATCATAATTGTATCCAGTGTGATGTTTAGTCAGTGAAACATTCGTTCGCATTAATTCAGTATGATATTCATTCAGTGTAACCGACCAAACCTCGTCTTGTTTTGTTACAGTGACATTCTATTTCAGGTTTCATACTATCTCAGTTACTTAAGATACTTCCTGACTAATCATCCGATGTAGATAAAATCTAGATACATATGAGTGTATTTGTGTGAAGTGATTGCTGAATTTTTGGAGAGTGAAAGGAATCTCCATCAACGCCCTATCCGGATTACAATTATGTCTGTTAAACTATGTCATCTAGATTGTAGAAATCTCTAACAACATGACAATCTTTTTGAACGTAGTGTTGATATATTTGAATTTTATTTGCACTCAATTGTTAAGGATAGGAAAATGTGTACTTTATCGGGAATAAACTTTCGCGAAAATGTGTAGTCAGATAACAATGACGAGCGAAGAAAGGAATCATAATGTTCTCAAAAGCAGTGAAAGCACACAATGACCAAGTGCTTTCGTGACTTTTGTATACCTTCTAGCATTTCGATGCTGTTCATGATATTCGGTAGTATGGATATGTTTCACAAATAAATTTATTAGGATGACCGTTTTTAATTTTCATGTACACCTTTCTGTATTTATATTGTCTAGTAACTGATGTTTTATTCCTAGCAAATGCTAAGTGCATGATATGTTATCTACAGGGGACATTATGCAAACACCGTTTTCCGATTACGTGGTCTTAATTTATCTTCCAAATACTAACCTACGTAGAAATTTGCTAATTGTGTACTGGATATACATATCGGTTGGACGTGTCTTGATGTGACAGAATCATTACTATAGTGTTTAACATAGAGAAAGCAAGATTTGCTGTCTGTTTATTTCTTCCATTATTGATAGTCCCAATAAATACGTCTGTGTTTGAGTTTGTTAATTACTAGCTGACAATCATGTACTCATTGCTTTTTGGGCATCCCAACAAAACTTCAGTATGATATTCCTTCAGTGTAACCGACCAAACCTCGTCTTGTGTTGTTGCAGTGCCATTCTATTTCAGTTACTTATGATATAGAAATTCCCGACGTTCTTGTGTTCTATAAGAATTGTTCAGTCTGGTAATTATTGGGACTAATTATGACAGAATTCAATCAGTAAATGACAGGATGAACTGGCACGTAATTGAGTGGTCGGTGTAGTTTGTGTAACAAATCGTCTTCGCAAGGTTTGTGCATTGAAGAATCGATAGAGCACCATTTACGTACTTACTTACTTGCTTACGCCTGTTACTCCCAATCGAGCATAGGCCGCAGACCAGCATTCTCCAACTCACTCTGTCATGTACCTTTCTTTAGAGTTCTGTTCAATTTTTGTTAATTTCCAACATGTCTGTCTCCATTTCCCGGCGTAACGTGTTCTTTGATCTTCCTCTTCTCCTTTGGCCTTAAGGATTCCATGTGAGGGCTTGCTTTGTGACGCAGTTGGGTGCTTTCCTCAATGTATGTCCTATCCACTTCCAGTACTTCTTCCTCATTTCTTCCTCCGCTGGGATCTATTTTCTTCTCTCTTACAGTACGTTGTTGCTAATAGTGTCCAGCCAATGGATCTGAAGTATTTTGCGTAGACAACTGTTAATAAACACTTGTATATTCTGGATGATGGCTTTCGTAGTTCTCCAGGTTTCCGCCCCATACAGTAGAACTGTCTTGACATTTGTACTGATAATTCTGACCTTGATTTTGGTTGACAGTTGCTTTGAGTTCCAGATGTTCTTCAGTTGTAAATATGCTGCTCTTGCTTCGCCGATTCGCGCCTTCACATCTGCATCAGATCCACCATGTTCATCAATGATGCTGCCCAGCTACGTAAAGGATCTTAAATCTTCCAAATCGTCTCCATCAAGTGTGATTCGATTATTGCATTATGTGTTGTATCGGAGAATCTAGCTTTGCTTTTTGTTTATGTTGAGACCTACTGCTGCTGAGGCTGCTGCTACACTGGTCATCTTTTCCTACATGTGTTGTTGCGTGTGCGATAGGAGAGCCAGATCATCTGAGACATCTTGATCGTCTAGCTGCATCCTAACTGTCCACTGTATCCCATGCTTGTCCTCAGATGTTGACGTGTTCATGATCCAGTCGATCACCAGGAGAAAGAGAAAGGGTGAGAGTAAGCAACCTTGCCTGACACAGGTCTTTACCTCGAACGAGTCTGTCAATTGTCCTCTATGCACGATTTCGCAGTTTAATCCATCATGATAGAGCACCAAGTAGTTTTAAAATGCATCACTTTTGATATTAGATTATACAACCAAGTTATACCACCACCAATATGTCCGAAACAATAAATCTCTATATGGTTGGCAGTATTGAAGTTCTAATTGCATAGCTGACACGACTTCCGAAGAACGTTTAATCGATTGCAGATCCATACTAGTTAATCAATATCACTATTCTACTATTTTGGTCCCGTTACAATCATATACATAGATATATATCATGGAAAATTATTTATATGGCATGAATATGTACCGATCAATGTTATGTTGAATGAATGAAGTTCCATTCAGAATACTTCTAATCAAGTAAAACTATAAACATTACATGGTCGTTAGTTCAGCTTCAAATGAAACTACTAACAGTAAAAGAAGTATGTTGAAGTAAATTTCGTAAGTTATATTTCTATGCATGACACAAAGTCATATGCTAAAGTTTCAATCTCACATACACATCAATATGACAGTTCAACAAAATAAATAAATTGTATACGGTGATGTGTATGTTGTGATGTGATTAAACTGTGAAGGATTTAAAATAAAATAGTTTGGTGAAAACTGGATAAAGTAAACGATAGTTTGACATTTTGGTCGATATATATATGTATATATATGCAGTTGGTTAAACAACAATATGAGTAAACAAAACTCAATTACGAATAAATACTCG